CATGAGTTTGGACCACAGACCACCCAAAGTCCCTTCCAACTGAGTTTTCCCATGGTTCCATTCCCATTTTTTCATAGAATCATTTAGGTTGGAAAAGACCTTTTAACATAAGGTGTTACACAGTAACAGTTCCTTATATAGGAACCATACCATAGGCATCTTGCCTTCCACAACCATGTAGGTATGCATGCCTAAGGTGAGCCTGGGAGGTGTCTGCAGTTGACTTCTACTGGCAAACCCCCTCCTTTACTGCTGGAACCTGACAAAAATCCACATGTAAGTTTCTGAGCCCAGTGAAGCCCCCCACAGTGGGGCCTGATGGGATCCACGTGTCCCAGTGGGGAAAACACATCTTTGGGTGTAAACTGGCAGGACTGATCGAGAGAGCTTTAAACTAGAACTGATGGGGCAGGGAGATACGACCAGGATTGCAGCAGGTAAGCCAAGGGTTGGCATGGCATCACCAGGGGGTGGCAATGCTAGTGGGAACATTGAGCACGGAGGGTTCAGGAGCATATCTGAAATGCTTGTACAGCAACACATGCAGTATGAGAAACAAATAGGATGAACTGGAAGTCTTGGTCACCTCCCAGAGCTACAGTATCATTGGTGCTAGTGAGACTTGGTTGAATGAGTCCCACGACTGGAGTGCTGGGATGGAGGCCACAGGCTGTTCAGGAGGGCTAGGCAGGGCAGGTGGAGGTGTCCCACTATACATAAGGGAGAGGTTTGGTTGCACAGCCCTTGCAGTTAGCGATGATGTGGTTGAGGGTTAGGGGAACAGAAAACAAAGGAGTTGTAGTGGCTGTCTACTACCAGTCGCCCAGCCAGGATGTAAGCACTGATGAGTTATTCTATAGGCAATTAGGAAAAATTTCTGTATCGGTAGCCCTTGTCCTTATAGGAGATTTCAACTTCCCAAACATCAACTGGGAATATCATCCTGCTGTGATGAGCAGGTCTTGGAAATTCTTGAAGTTTGTAGGAGATAACTTATTGTCATAGCTACTCGGTGAGCCGACTAGGAAAGACGTCCTCCTAGACTTGGCATTTGTGAATACAGAAGGACTCGTGAGGGATGTGATGGTAGGTGACTGTCTTGGCCACAACAGTCATGAAATAATTGAGTTTTAAATTTTCAGTGAGAAAAAAAAGACAGCAGGGTTGCTCCCCTGGACTTCAGGAAAGTAAACTTTAAGCTATTCAGGGAGCTGTTTACCTGAGTACCCTGGGAACTTGCTTTTAGGGGCTTAGGAGTCCACAAGTGCTGGTCAGTCTTTAAGAGCCACCCTTTAGAAGCACAGGAGCAGGCAGTTCCACTGTGTTGTAAATCAATCAAACAGGACAGAAGACCAGCTTGGCTGAACAGGGATTCAGATTTCCAACTGAAATAGTCTATTCTATTCATCTACCACTTGAAGAACTGAATTACAATCACAAGAACTAAGTCATAGCACGTTCTGAGCCTTCTGTTTTCAAATAAGTCATAAAAAGGTTTCAGCTTTTTTCTGACATGTCATTTTGTGTAGACCATCTTTAGTTTTAATACAACTAGAATTCTTCTTGGCTGTTCATAATGAAGGGGGAGAGCATCCAGTGTGTCAAAACTAGGACAGCTGAAAGAACTAAGAAGAAACTTTTGTGTAGCTATTTTCCTCTCAGAAATATTTTACATGTAAAATTCTAAAATTTAAATCTAAATATAGCTAATATATTTAAATATGTATTTTATATCTAAAATTCTTAAATTTAGAATTTCTGTTAGCACTTCCATGATTCAGTTTTTCCAATTAAACCATTCTTAGTTATTAAGAAGTTGAGTTCTGGTAAAATATTACTGCAAATAGTTTGTATTTGTTCCCCCTACTTGCCCACTAACCTCTAAAATGTAACATGTCCATCATATTTTCTCAATTCCTGACTTTTCTACCACCTTTACTATCTCCCCTACATCTTTCTATTGACATCTAAAACACGGACCAAAAAAAAAATCTAAGAAATAACATTGCCTGTTTTCACTTGTTGTCTGTTTACGTTAAGTAATGAGATTTTACCGCAGCCTTTTCTCACCGCTGTTTGTAAGTCTGAAAAAAATAAATTTAAATCTTCAAATATAATCAGTGGTAAGGGAATTGGTATTTACGAGCTAATTAATAAATTAAAGGAGCATCATATGTGGGGCATGGAAGCATTAAAAGAAAACAAACAAACAAATCAGGATATGCTTTAGTTATTAGCAGAGAACATGAAATGTAAGACTTGATTCTGTTCAAATACAAATTCACTTCCATGCTTCCATTACTTTAAACAGTACAGGAAAGAGGCTCTGAAAGAACAAATTTTAATATAGGACTTCTACAATTTCATCACTACTTACTCTGCAGTGGGGCCTGCTTACAGGTTGCTACTGAACGCATCCGAAGGAAACCGGACCACACACTTCTAAGCGATGTTGCCATGCTGATAGCAGACAGGAAACCAGTCCTGGACAAGGTAGAACTCAAATGGACACTGTATCCTTTTTTTCTGCAGAACACTCTCTGAAAAAAAACAGTTTTATAATTGTTCGGGGTACAAAAGACTGACAATTTAATTTCTTGAATATCTTAAAGACAAATAAAATTTGTGCAGTACAATCCTCATTATCTGTCAGTTGTTTACAAATGTAGAAGTTAAGATACTGGCACCTGCCTCCTTAATAGTAAAATGTGGTACAAGACTATTTAGTGAAAGTACTCTTTGAAGGTATGTTATTAACTTTAAAAAAGTTTCCAAGCTTGGGTCTTCTCACAGTTTTTCTACTGGTACTCACCCACCTAAGTTCTGCATCCTTCCTTCTGCACACTCCACAGAAATATTGCTGAAACATGCTTTCAGAGTTCACGATGTAAATATCATTGCCCAGTATAAAAATAGAAATACTTATAAATAACATCTGCTGTAGTTAATAAACTGTCTAGACGCAATTGGTTTCATCCATCTGAAAACTATGAAACACCATTCAGAATACCTTAAATATTACCCCCTCTTCCTACGGCCCCTTTCGGAGGCCTACCTGGCGGTTCCCCTCCATCAGCCGGGCACGCTTTGTCACTAACTACAAAAACGAGGGCGGCAGCGCTGCAGATCGCGACCCTCAGGCGAGGCGGCCCTGCCCTCGCCGGCGGCCCGCGGAGACGAGCGC